AAATTTGAAGTCTTTTAAACATGCTGATCCTCCTTTCAATACAAGGCCTACTCCCAACCAGGACTGGACAGTACCATGGTAACCACAATCCCCATACACATCCCTTTTCTCTGAAGATGAGATTTCCTGGCACTGAGAATAGACTTCCTTCCAGGAAGACCTGGTCTTCAGGATTTACCCACCCACTGCCTATGCCTCCTCTTTCTCGTAGAAGAGCATCCCACACAAAACTGGAAAGCTGCATGGAGAAAGAAAGTAGGTTGCCTAGGCCACTTGTGGCCACTCCAGGGAAGGAGAGCAGCTGAAGGACTGAAAAGCTTTCAAATTAGGAATGTCTCAACCTAAAACCAATGCATATCATTGTCCAAAAATATCAAAGTATCATTGCACTGGGATATGAATAGCTGATTTCTTGTATGTTCTTTTTAAATTGGGTGGCCTTGGCCAAGTTGTAAAATCTTTCTGGAACTTTCTAGACTCTCTAAAAGTCCAGGGGAGTGAATATATGACTTTTGAAATTAATATATGCTTGCAATACATAATCATATTCCCGCTAGGGAAGTGATGCATCTGGGCATCACGTCCTGACCATTTACTCCTCCTGTACCCTCCCTTCTTCCTCCATCTCCACATCCCCTTCCCGTCTCTGTAGTTTACCTACCTGTTTCTTACCATTTGTCTTCTATTTTGTTTTGTGTTTGTTTGTTCATTCCTTGTTTTTTTAATTAATTTTATTGGTGCAATTTAGATATGCATAATTATCACATTCATCATAGGGAATTTGTACCTGTATGCTTATTTTTTATTAAAGATTGCAAAGATACATGATAACAAGAAATGAAGATACTAAAAAAAATTTCAAATATACATATATATGACAGCAAAAAAAGGATATGAAATAAACAAGAATTTATGTAGCACAGACTAACTGAAATACATTAGTTTGATATGATCTTCAAACATTATGTTCTTTCTCATTTTCTTATATTTTTGAAATAATGTAATTATAAATAAAACAAAGTTACATATTATAGTTGAGAAACTGTCCTAAAAATTTTATGATTTATAAACTCCTTGGTTTAATTAATTGATAAATATCATATACTTGTTGACTGTACCACTTACATTTTCTAACAAAACTTCCCACAGAAAAAAATGTACTTATATTTGAAATCCAAAAGCAACTAAAAAAATTCACATTTTTAAGATCAGATTTTTCTGTTTCTATTTTATTATATCCCAGACTTATTTTTATTATATTTTATAAGCATGATAGAATTTAACACCAATAGATGTGTAATATTCTTCCCAAATGAATGACTATGAAGTCAAGCATGTAATTTAAAGAAATCATAAGGTTGCCAGAGAAACTATCAATATGCCAAATGTGCACAATCCTACCACATTCATGCCTATGTTTCTCATTTAATAGTGCACACATATATGTAAAAACATGCCCCCCACACATATACACAATGCATATTTTCTACAATACAATATATACCTAGGTATAATGAAATAGTGCAGTGATGTGTGGAATGTTGGTGATTTGTATAATTTGAGAAAAAACAAATATCTTTGAAGAAGTTGGAGAATTTGTAATATGTATCAGATACTAAATGATATTCATGATTAAGTATAGTTATAATAAAATTTACTTAAAAATTAATACTCGTCATCAGTAGAAAATAGGTACAAAGATGTATTGATAACATAACAACATTTATCTTAACAAATTTCCAACCAAACAAGCTGTAGTGACAGAAAAGGAAGTTTGTAGAAAGCAGAGATGAAAGAGGAAAATGACAGATGGGCCTTAATACTTTTCATACTACTCATATATACAGATTTCATAAATTCTCAAATAGAAAAGCCAAGAAAATGAGAACCAAAATAACTCATCAATTTGGTAGACCAACATATAAAGACAAGGATTAACGTATTGATAAATTTTTAAAATATGAAATGTAAAGCCTGAGATTTATCTCAATACTGCTGCACCTGCCTAGCCAGAACAATGTGCCAAGTTTAATCCCCAGCATTAGAGGAAGAAAAAGAAAAAGGAAAAAAAAGAAGAAAAGAGGGGAGAAAAGCATATATATACTTTCTGACATGCTCAATAAATTAAAAATAAATTATTTGTTATCTCTTCCTCTTGCATTGTTCCCTTCACAAGGATGTAGAGCTTCTTTTGAACAATGTGCCAAGTTTAATCCCCAGCATTAGAGGAAGAAAAAGAAAAAGGAAAAAAAAGAAGAAAAGAGGGGAGAAAAGCATATATATACTTTCTGACATGCTCAATAAATTAAAAATAAATTATTTGTTATCTCTTCCTCTTGAATTGTTCCCTTCACAAGGATGTAGTGAGCTTCTTTATCTCTTTCAATCAATTTAAGTTTGAAACTTGCTTTGTCTGTGAATAAGATTGCTAGCCCTGCTTTTTTTGGCCGGGGGAGCTCCTGTTACATGAAGAAGTTTTCTGTCCTTTCTTGTTCAGTCGATGAGCTTCTTTTTACACTAGACGTGTCTTGTATAAAACATATTATTGGATCTTGCCTCTGAATCCATTCTGCTGGTCTATTTCTCTTGATTGGTGAATTGAGGCCGTTAATATTGATGGTTATAACCGATATGTACTAACTTATTATTATCATGGGGTGTTTTTTTTTTTCACCTTCTCCTTTTAGTTTCTTGGCTTACCTATTTGATTTGCTCTGTTGGGCCTCATTGTATTGTTACCTTCATGGTCTTTTTCTAGGATATTGTTTAGAATTCATTGTAGTGCTAGTATTGTATTCATAAAGTTTCTCAGGAGTTCTTTATCCTGGAAATATCGTATTTCCCCATCCATTTTAAAAGAAAGTTTTGCAGGATACATCAGTCTAGGTTGGAGGTTGTTTTCTTTTAGCACTTGAAATATCTCATTCCAGGCTCTCCTTAACCTAAGGGTTTGTATTGAAAAGGGTGCTGTAATTCTAATAGGCTTTCCTTTGCATGTAATTTGTTTCTTGTCTCTTACTGCTTGTAGTATTTTGTTCTTCTGTTGAGTTTCTGGGATCTTGATTATTATATGTCTAGGTGTAGATTTTTTTTTTTTATCACAGCTAGTTGGAGTCCTATATGCCTCACTTATCTGTATGTCATATTCTTCCCCTCTATTTGGGAAGTTTTCTATTATTAATTCTGTGAACAGCTTTTTTAAGTCATTTACATTTTCTCCTACTACTTCTTGAATTCCTATCAATCTTATATTATTCTTCTTAGTATCATCTAAGAGTTGTTGTATCAATTTCTCATGATCTCCTACTGGTTTTTTTTCAGCTTTAATTGAGTTTATTGGTACATTTTTGGGATACAGTACAGTTACATTCATTGTTGGGATCTTGTACCTCTACATGACAAGTCTTGGTTCTCATTTTTTCCCCTTACCCCTGTCCTCCGATCTCCTACTGTTTTTAAGAGACCTCTCTTTTCATGGTAACTGACTGCAATTTTATCTTCTATATCTGAGATTCTATCTTGGGACTCTTTTACTCTTTTGTGAACACTCTCAGTGGAGTTTTTAATCTCCTGAATATCTGTTTGAATCTGTCCTATGAATTCCATTTCTTTCTTGTATTGGGCATTTATTGTTTCCAATTCTTTCTTTTGTTGGGCATTCATGGCTTCTGTCATGGTCCTGAGTTCATCTATTTTCCTCTCAGTTTCTGTTCTAGAGTCACAAATTATAACTTTCATTTTGCTTGTCATCTCTATGATTACCTTGGAAATTACTTCTGTATTATATTTCTCTAGAGCCTGATTGATCAGTTTTGTTACTTCCTGTGCTTTGAGTTCAGGGTGTCCTGATGATTCACCATCAGACTTTTCATCCTCATTTGCCCCACTATTTGCCATTGGTGAACTGGAAGTCTGTCCCTGCATCTTGCTTAAGCATTTTCTCATTTTTACTATTGTTGTTGGGTTATCTTAGTTTTTAACCTTTAGATTATTACTTAAGTCTTCCTGATATAGTTGGGCTGCAGCCCATGGGTCTCTAATGACTCATAGACATTCTCATTTTCATCATACTGAAGAAAACAGCTCATTGAATCAATCACAATCCTTTATTCTAATTGATACAATCACACCACAATATAATGAAGCACAATTTGCAAATTGACCACTTATGGTAGTCATCAATCTATCACCTTCAAACCATGTAAATTTAATTAAGATCAAGAAGTAATCCAAAATATGCTTACAGTAAATAAACTTTTCAATAAGGATATTTACCATTTACAATGGGGGCTTAAAACAAAGTTAAGACAAGAGGAGTAGATAAATATAAGAATTAGAGAAGGTCTCATATGAAGCCAAAAGACGTAGAATGACCAGACAATCATCAGGAGATTGTTAAATTCAAAAAGAATAAACAAAATAGAAATATAGTAACCCTTGAGTGAGGTAGAATAACATAAGATAAGAACATAAAGAAAAGAGAAAAAAATAATAAAAGAAGAAATCTGAATTAGGACAAGAGCAGAAACAAAAAGAGAGATGAGGGATACTATAGTGGAGTAAGAGACTGAGTTAGAGAAAGAAAACAAAAAGAAAAAAAGAATTTGCAGAGTAGGATAAAAAAAAAAGAAAGAAACAAAAATTAGTTTAAAGGGCCTCTTTCAGACTGTATCACTGCTGTCAAAATATACAATATGTGCTGCCATTTGCAGAGCCAAGTCCCCTGATCTCAGCTAGCTGGTGGCAGAACCCCACAAAGCAGACTGAGCTCGATCTGCAAGGCCCAGACTGAGTTCCCCGACCTCCTAAAGGGCTGAACTCCACTCAGTTCTACCATAAGTTTCCCCCACCGCTTCTTTAAAGATGTTCAAAGTTGAAAGTGCCAGAAAATACTCTTTATGACCATCTCTGCCTCTACAGAGTAGGTCCAAAGACTTGTACAATCAGGAGGTCTAAGAGCGCGAGGGGGAAGATTGGGGGCGGCGGTTGGGAGTGTCCGCACGGCTACCTTCCTAGCACTGAAGATGGCGGCAGCAGCGCCAGCAGGGGAGGGCCTGGCCAAGACCCTCTGGCACTAAAGATGGCAGAGGCAGCCTGCAGGAGAGGGCGCGGCCAAGAAGAATTTGTACCTGTATGTGCTATATCTTGATTCCTTTCTTTTTCCGATCCCCATCCCCTCCCTTTCTTTTCTCCTTATTTACAAAGTATGTTTCCATATTTTCCCTTCTTTTCTCCTTTGTTCTTTTCCCTGCCTTCCTGTCCCCCTCCCCACTCCCTAGTGGGTACTAGTCCTTTTGAACATTTTTCTCCTATTTCACATTATCTATTATACATTTTGGTCCTCATTTACACTTGCAGTTTCTCACGCCAGAGAGACAATGTGACAGTCACACATGTGTGTCCAATTTATTTCACATAAGGTATAGTCTCAAGGTGCATCCATTTCATGAGATTTTGTTAATGAAGTCCTTGCTTATTATAAATCTCTCAAGTTTATCCTTCTTTATGACTGAATAGTGCTCCATTGTATTTTTAAAAATCACAACTTTTTTTATCCATTCATTGGTCAATGGATATTTGGGCCATTCCCAAGACTTAGTATTACAAACTGTGCTGCTATAAATGTGGGGCTGCATACACTGTGGTATGATGCTTCTGGGAAGATACACAGATGGGGAATAGCTGAGCCAAATGAGAACTGTACTCCTAGTTTTCTGAGGAATTTCCACACTGATTTTCACCATGGTTGCACCAGTCTACACTCCCACCAAGAGTGGGAAAAGGGTTTCTTTTTCCCTGCAGCCCCACCAGTTCTTGCTTATATATTTCTTATGGTAGATAGCTTCATCACTAGTGTTAAGGCTTCTCTAGGAAATGTGTGTTACACAGAAATGTCTTCTGCGTGTAGGTGGATCTTAGTCTTTGTGTCTATCCAAGAACCTACCTTTCCAATCTATTTTTGCTATTTAGCTCAGCACCCAGGCTTTTGGTACTGGACTATGTTGATGGTTGTGGCCCCAGACAATTACACTGTTGCATACAAGGGAGAACAACTGATGAAAACATGTATGATATCATGGATAAAGTAGTACAGTTAGCAAGAACAATGACATCAAACACAACCTAGCAACTGACAAAATGTGGTAACTATTATTTTAGTACCTTTAATCATGTAAGCAAACTCTATCTACTATTGTATAACAAAATTCACCATAAACCAGAAACTTGTATGCAATGAGTTTCTCATTAGTAGAGTGATTTTACCTTGTAAGGGGGAAATTTAAGAGGACTAGGGGACAAAACAGAGAGATAATTGAGGAGAAATATAGTAGAAGTAAGGCTGAAGGGGAAAAGATAAACATTCAATCTTTGAGAAACTGGAGAAGAGGGCAGGAAACAAAGGGAAGAAAGCAAAATGATTTTAATGCAAACAAGAAAGATAGGTGACACTGTACTCTTACATTAAAATATCATGAAATCAAGAGAGACGGTTGCAGAAAAAGAAAGGAGATAAATAGGACAGAACAAGGATAAAGGTACAGAACCTGAAAAACCAACCCAACATAAAAAGGAAAATATGCAAACAAAGAAAAAGAAAAATATCAAAATTCCTCTGCTGTCCACAGTTCTGTGTTAGTGTCCAAGAGAACCAAAAAACAAACTGTGCAAACCCTCCAAGTCTGCAGTAAGGTCAACGCTGGGGCACCAGGCTGTCTCTGGCCTCTGAAGGTGAGGCTGGGGCCTTTCCCCAACATCTTTCTAATTGTGTCTCAGGCAACTCAATCACTTCTCACTGTGACTGTCTTCACGCCACTCTCCCAGCTGGTGTGGCACTCTCAGCAGGAGCTAGCTGAAGATGCTCTCATGTCAGGGCACAGTTTGCCCCACCCAAGGCTTGCACAGCCTCCTTTGTTCCACACTGCTATTTCCTCTCACATGCTGGCAGTCCCACTGCTGGCGAGGGTCATTTGCCCACCCTGCCCTCCAGGCAACATCAGGGGGCCCCTCCAGTCCTTTGTAACTCAGGGGTATTGGCAATGGAGTGACCCTGGGGCTGTTCAGCTATTGGCACTCAAGCCCCAAGCCTTTAAAACACAGTGGCAGTCCTGCCCACCCACTGCTGATCTGCACAACTGTGTGCCATTCCAGTTCACTAACCCACTGTTAATTCTGCAGGGCCACTGGGGAAGCACTGTCTCATGTCCTCACTGCTGCCTCTGATTGGTAAGATTTTTTCACAGTACAAATCCAGTCTCCATTTTACAGCAAGCAGCAAAGTTGCTTTCACTGCCTCCCTGCCAGGGTGGGTACATAGTCCTTCCATCACCCTTCAGTCTGTGATGGTAGGCTACTTCTTCTGTATTAATGAATCCTATTACGTTCTTCTCCTCTGTCAGTTCCCTCACAATTCCTGTGCCCTCCACTCACTTTGTATCCTCTTGAAGCTATTGCTTTCCAGATTCTCAGTCCTTTGTCTTAGAAAAGAAGCTGTGCCACTGGTACTAACCACTGCACCATTTTGGAGGTTTCTCTTTTATTTTGTTTTTTAAATTATCTATATTTGGGGTTTCACATGTTAGAGAAGTCATGTAATATTTAACATGTGTGTCTGGTATATTTCAATTAGCATTATAGTCTCAAGGTCCATCCATTTTCCTACAAAGGACTCAAATTTATCCTTCTTTATGTGTATGTAGTACTCCATTGTGTGTGTGTGTGTGTGTGTGTATCACATTTTCCTTATCCAGTCATCTGTTAATTGGTACATAGGCCACTTCCATAACTCAGCCGCTGTGAATTGTGCTGCTATCAACATAGGTATGCATGTACCACTGCAATATTTTGTCTTTAACTCTTTCAGGAAGATACCGAGAACAAGGATATCTGGGTCAAGAAAAATTTTTAGTTTCAGTTTTTTTAAGAATTTCTGTACTGATTTTCACAGAGGTTTTATTGTTTACACTCCCACCAACAATGCAGAAAGTTTCCTTTTACCAATAAACTAGCATTTGATGTTTTTTGAGTTTTTCTCAATAACCATTATTAGTGTAGGAAAATGGAATCTCAGTGTCCTTTTGATTTGCATTTTTCTAATGGCCAAAGTTGCTGAACATTTTTTTACAAACATGTTGCTTTTTTAAGGGTCTATCATTTCAATTGCCCATTTTTATTGGGTCTTTTACTTTGGGAGGGGGTCTAATTTTTCTGAGTTCTTTATACTTTCTAGATATTAGTCTTCTATCTATAAAGGAGTTGCAATTTTTTTCCTATCCCATAGATTGTCTCCTCATCTATTGTTTCCTTACTGTGCAGAAGCTTCTTCATTTTCTATAACCCCACTTGTTGTTTCTTGTGCATTTGGGTGCTTTTTAGGAAGTTCTTGCCCATGTCTGTGTCTTCAAGAGTTTTAACAATGTTTTCTTCCAGCACATTGAGTGTTTCTGATTTTATATGTAGGTCTTTCATCCACTTTTTGTTTTATTTTTAGAACTGGGTCAGAGATATGGATCCTTACACACATAGCATTGGAAGAAAAGGAGTTTTCCATATTCAGAATAATGAGTCAAGTGGTTATGTTTTGAAGTGTGTGAGCTGTGACACTTGAGAATTTCTCTCCACAGATACAATTGATCTTTAATTACCCCTGTCAATGCATGAGAATGGAATGTGAATACTGAAAATATGTAGAAAATATGAAACTCCTTTCTATTGGGCTTTACAATGCATTACATGTTGTCAAACAAATCACAGTGAACTAATCTTCCCAATGGTACTTATTAATGTGAAAAATCAATTTCTTCACATCTAATGGCACTATGCACAATGTCCTAGTCACTTTTCTCAGTGCTGAGACAAAGTACCTAACACCCAAAAATAAAGGGGTAAGGGTGTCTTTCACTTACAGTTCATAGAGGTTTCAGTCCATAATCAGCTGTCTCCAAAGCAGGGTGGCACACGCCAGAGGGGCAACAGTTCATGGCAGCAGAAGGCAGCAAAAGCAACACGTGAACTTAACAGCATCTTTCTGCTCCTTTTTCCTTATCCACACTGTCAGGGTTACAGTAGCATGAAATCAATCATGAGACTTATTTAGTGCTCAACACCCCTTATTTCCAACTGTGGGAGAAGTTCAAGCCTGGCTGGGCCAGGTGTGCCACACTCGTGTCTCCTGAGCTAACTTGGAGACCTGGCTAAGGCTGAGCTAACACGCCTAAGTGCATAGATGCTGGGTCCCACAGGCTACACCTCTGCCCCTAGACTATGACTCCTTCGCCTCACCCAAGAAAAATCACTCCACCGTGCATGTAATAAGATATCACCAAATGTTAAGTGCTCCAACCATGCTCCTCACCCATAGATGTCCCTATATAAGCCCATGAATTTCCTGAATAAAGCGGAAGTGTTCCACAAACCTCCCCAGAGTCTGCCTGGTAATTCCGGGCCTTACCCTCCCAGTCCAACCTCCCTAACCTTGTTCTGTGAGCAGGGTCGCGAAGGACAACATCCAGCGTCACACACTCTACATAGAACCACCTGCGAAAATATCCATCACTGCATAAGGCTTTGAGGGAACATCAAGACACAAACTATAACACACAACTAAACTAATTTAAGGCAGTGTTTCATATATTATTCTTGGCCTGTTGCCAAAATGTGAGGAAGAACTGCAAGTTGGAGTGATGTGGGAGATCTAGATGTACTTGTCATTTCTGGCTTATCCCCTCTGAACCAGAAATACTTGTCCCTAAAATAAATTCACAGACACTTTCTCAGCATGTGCTTGGCTGACACAAAGTGCACAAAGATGAACAAGACAGATACCTTCAAGCTTCTTTTCTTAATGAAGGAGAGAGGAAAAGGATTGTAAATTCACTGATAAAGATAAGAACTGAATAACATGAAAATTCAGGGAGTGCTAGGGACCTCATGCATTCCAATCCTGGATAGTAATGTAGGATTTCCCAGGCATGTCAATCAGCTCCCCCAAATATAAAAACCCAATTCAAAAATGGGCATCTGAAATGAACAGACATTTATCAGACAAAGAAGTAAAAGCAGCAAGTAAATATATGAAAAAATGTTCCACATCACCGGTCATTCGAGAGGTGCAGATGAAAACAACACTGAGATTTCACCTCACCCCAAAAAGAATGGCTGCTATCAAGAAATCACACAATAAGAAATGTTCACGGGGTTGTGGGGAGAAAGGAAACCTTCTCCATTGTTGATGGGAGTGCAGACTGGTGCAACCACTATGGAAGTCAATATGGAGATACCACAAAGAACTAGGATTAGAGGTTCCATTTGACCCAGCCATCCCTCTTCTGGGTATCTTTCCAAAAGAATTAAAAGAATCATACCACAGTGATATATGAACAACCATGTTTATAGTGGCCAGTTTGTAATAGTTAAAACTGGGAAACAGCCTATTTGCCCATCAGTTGGAAACTGGATAAAGAAGATGTGGTTTTTCTATAAAACGGAATACTATTCAGCCATAAAGAATGAGAAAGTAGATTAATTCATAGGTAAATAGATACATTTTGAGGTTATACTCCTAAGTGAAATAAATAAGTCACACATGTGTAAATACTGAATAGTTTCTCTGGTGTGAAAAACTAAAATAGTACTCAAGATCCTAATGAGATAATTGGCAATGTAAAATAGGAAGAAAAGGGCTAAAGCTGTAGGGATAGTGATAAGGGTAAGGGAAGGGGAATAAAGAAAGGGAAAAAATACAAGAAAGTGTAAAAATGGAATTAAAGTGTTTGTAGATGGGGAGGGGAGGAGGGGGTGAAAGGAGAGTGGGGATAAGGGGAAAAAATGAGAACCAAGACCTGCCATGTAAAGGTACAAGATCCCAGTAATGAATGTGACTGTACTGTCCACCTAGAATGTACCAATAAATTCAATTTAAATTTTAAAAATGGGTAAGCTAAATCAAAGAAAATGAAGATTTAAGGAGGTGAGTTAAAGACCATTAGGAGATAGAAATAGAAAGGAGTATTTCTGGCAAAGGAAGTCATTCAGGAAAGACAAAGCAAGTAGTGCAATGCAACTAGTAAACACAAGCCTGGTAGATAGCATTGTTTATTTTGAAATAGTAAAAGGAACCACCAAAAATTTTAAGCATGCAATTTTATAATTTCTCAATGCATTAGCCGTTCATCACTGAAATACCTAATACGCTTAATGCCTAACTTACCTAACATACACATGTTGGAGGAAAAAGGATTTGTTTTGGCTCACAGTTTCAGAGGCTTCAGTCCATGGATGGCTGGTTCCAAGGCAGAAACGGCACGACATGAAGCCATAACAGAGGAAAGCTGCTCAATCCATGGCAGTCAAGAAGCATAAAGAGAAAACAGGAAGAACCAGGAAAAAAGAAAGGACCAGGGACAAGAAAACACTCTTCCATTTCTCAGCCCCAGTGATCCACTCCTCCCACACCCCACCTTCTAACAATAAACAAGACAGATACCTTTCAAGCTTCGCTTCTTCATGAACTAGAAAGGAAAAGGATTTTAAGTTCACTGAAGAATATGAGCTGAGTACCATGAAAAATCACGGAGTGCTAAGGACCTCATGTAGTCCAATCCTTGATAGTAATGTAGGATTTCCCAGGCATGTCAACAAGTAAGCTAAATGAAAGAAAATGAAGATTGAAGGAGGTGAGTTATGAACTCCTCAATGAACCAATCCACTGATGATAAGTAAAGTGCCCTCATGATCCAATCACCTTCCAAAAGCCTCACCTCTAAACACCCGAATGGGTAGGGGAACATTTTAGATCAAACAATAACACTGGAGATATAAAGTTAAAAGCATATCATCACCTATAATAATCATCTAATTCTACTATGAGTATGTCTTATAACAAGAGAACTCAAATCTTCAGTACCTAAATCTTCAGTAACTTAACTGTAAGCTGTAGATTAGGTTCATTTCTGTTCTGTGACTTCGTTCTAGGAACAAAACTGAAGCAGCAGTGACTCCCTAAACCAAACTTCTTTCCCCTCAGAGGGCAGATGTTCAAGAGTGTCAGTAGAAGTCTTGAACAGGACACATCTCAGTGCTTCAGTATCTGTAGTCTCCGGATCAAAGCATGGCAAAGCCCCAGTGTATATCAAGTAGGATGCATTCTCCACCTGCAGTACAAAATCCTGCCATGTCATGCAGCAGAGAAGCCAGATGTGTGCTTCTGTCATAGGGAGAGAGTGAAGCGTTGGGAATAATAACTGTTACAGTCTTATCTGGGTTCCCAACTTGTTCTTTGTTATAACTACTTCTATTGAAGTCAATTTTTGATGGTTGCTTCTAAGAAACTCTATACGCTACATTAGAGGGAAGACAATGAGTCTCCTATAGGTTAGTCAGGAGCTTATTTTAACCTCAATGCAATAACCACTCACATTTTCCCATTTTAAAGACTAGCACTCAATAACAGCTACTTTGACAATCTACATTACAATTCTTTATTTTCATCTGGCTCTCCCTAGGAGGCACACATTTTCCTGCTTTCTGCTCTAAACTATCCCATTTCATTGTTTCTTTTTTTTTCTTTCTTTCTTTCTTTTTTTTCAGCTTTAATTGAGTTTATTGGTACATTTTAGGGATACAGTACAGTTACATTCATTGTTGGGATCTTGTACCTCTACATGACAAGTCTTGATTCTCATTTTTTCCCCTTACCTCTGCCCTCCCTTCACCCCCTCCTCCCCTCCCCATCTACAAACACTTTATTTTCATCTTTTGATTCTCTCACATTTTTTCTTTTCCCTTTTTACTCTTCCCCTACCCATCCCACCTTCCCTACACCTTTAGCTCCTTTCTTCCCATTTCTAAATGTCAGTAATCTTATTAGAATCTTATGCATTGTTGCAGATTCCATTTCATTGTTTCTTATTGAGACAATAGTACTTCTTCTTTTCTATTTTTTCAGTCAGCGAAGAGAGTGAAGCTTTGAGAAAAGAAGCTGCTTAGAGTTTAGAGGGCAGGCATGTGGCTGCACATAGACCGGGAAGGAGTCATCAGAGCGATCATTAGTGAAACAGTGATTCATAAAGTAAGTGATAGATTGGCCTAAGACATCCAGGGAACATGAAGGTCGACCCTTTTGCATTCCCAGTGCAGCAGCAACAGCAACACTCATAATGTTCTTAACCACCTTAATGATGAAGCTTGAAGAAGGACACTTCCAGTGAAACTATCACTTCCATAGAGATCAAAAATAAACAAGCCTGCTGTCTTAGAGCCTCAAAGAAAATTTCAAGAAGGGCATAACTGAACCAAAAATCAGAAGGCAAACTAGAGTGTAACTAAGAAGTGTCTGCTGAATTCAGCCAGTGCCATAGGTTTTGCTTGCTCAGATTGTGCCCTGCACAAGGGTGTTTAGCCAAGAGATTCTGTAATTCGGCTCATGCTCTATTAGAGTAGCCAAGCCCTTGTTGGAGAGCAGCAGATCAGGAAAATCCTTTTATAAAGCCCACAAAAGTGTGTGTGATCCATTTGCAAAGCTTGAACACAAGAGGTTGCCTCTGCATTTGCCAAGCAAGTTACTTTTCCTGAATCACCCAAAGCACCATATGGGCTACTGGCCCTGAATTGAGCAACTGGGAAGTCAATGAAAATAAATTTCAAATTTACACAAAAGCCCTTTGTACATTGTATGACACTATTCAAATGGAAAGCAGGGCAAGCAAAGGTGACTCAGAAGCTTAGCAGGTGACAGGAGACATTTGCATTGACCACAAACATTTTCTGCCTAACCCACAGCATGTAGAATGCACATGAGACATTCAGATAGGTGACAGACTCCTCTGTAGGAAACCATTTAAGGTCAGGCTGGCCAGAAAGCACAGATGGAAGTGGACATGATGATTTCTGTAAGTCCATTTTAGCCCCAGGGAAGGTCTAGACAGCAGGACAGGAGAGCCTGAGACAGAAACACCTGGGCAGCTGGCCCAATCTAACAGCCAAGCTCTTTGATCCTGCTGCAACTTAACTTGCAGAAAACATCTGGCTCCAAAAAACCTTACACTGTGAAACCCAGTGGAGGTTTTTGTAAAGCTCTGTAGCACTGTGACAGGGGGGATATGCACAGTGCTACAAAACCTAAAGAGACCTTTACAAAAACTGCAAGGACAAAGACACTTTCCTTGGGTAATACTCTGCCTGTGTCTGGTGCTCTAGGGGATAAATACAGCAGGCAGTCTTCCCTCCTTGATCTCTAATCCAGAAGGGATGCCAGGAAGCCAAATGGACCAGGGGAGATGACACCAGCCCCTGGCCTCTCACTCACTGCAGTTCTTCCCTGGGTGAAAATAGCATTTCAACATTTTCTTACCGCACATGTGGGGAACAACACATCACATTAAAAGCCATCACATTAAAAATGATCTGATATTCTTGTTTTCAGGTTGATCTTATTGCAAAAAAAAAAATAGCTATATGAGCCATTTCATATGGAGCTTCTGGACCCAAGTCCTTAGATAAATTTGCTTGGGCACATTGCTTTTGTAGTTTGAGAACATGGATTTGGTGATTAATTTATTTGTACAGAACTGCCAGTGAGTGCCCTATGTCGCCTTGTCTCCTCTTGTGCTACACATTATTTTACCATAAGGTAACGCTGGTAGTAGTTACAGACCCAAGACCCATGATCTCAGCAGTCCCAACTTTCCAAATTGAGTGTTAGTGTGCATTGAGGAAATGTGATCAAAAACAATAGAAAACTACAGTGCAGAGAACTTCATTTAGTGTGCTGGGCTGGAAGTATTCACCTTGGGAATATGTTTTCTGTCAACTCCTCAGACAACAAGCTTCTGAAAACAAACTTATTGGGAGTTACTACATTGTCATGAGTCAGGTGGATGAGCAACAAGTGCCGTCTTTCAAGGACCTGAGCATGAAAGACACTCCAGCCCTAAAGCTAGTAGGAATAAGGAGGGCGGGAGCACGACTGAGGTTTTTGTAACACCCTCAACAGCTGTGATACAGATAAGCTCACCTTTGGACAAGGAACCTACTTGACTGTGGAACCAAGTAAGTGATCCATTTCTCTGGAATTTGGGATTAATGCACCTTCTACCTAGTGAGGCAGAAATATCCAGAAAGGTAAAGGGGGTGGTACTAACACCCATAATAGTGTAATAATGTCAAATAGGACCACTAGCAATAGGTAAACTATGGTTATCCCTCTGTAGGAGTTGGGGGGGGTAAAAAAGTAGGATTGAAGAGATATGAATGAACCAATACAGTGCAAAGGAATTGGAAGAAATTTTGCCCAATCCATGGGATTTGGATCAGGCTGTAGAAAACAGAATCACTGGTCCAACTCCCTGAGCAGAGGGAGAAACGACCTGGAATGAGGTTAGCCTGAGTCTGGGTGATCCTATCAAGGTGTCCACAGATACAGACAGCTCTGACTTTTCCTAGGACAAATTCATGTTCCTCGGAGAGCCCAAGACCAAAGCTGTCTCTTAGGCATGAAGAGTGGGTCCAGATTAAGTGGTCTTGTGTTACAGATGTGCTGTCAGCTTTCTCTTTAGAGTGAAGGAAGGTGTTCTAGATATTTGTTTCTAAATGGCTGGCCTAAAAATGGAAAGTAGTTTACTAGAGAGAAATATGGATAATTGTGCTCCCAGTGAGACCAGATTCCAAGCAGAACAAACTTTTGTGTGTTACGTTTCCAGCTAAGAAATGCTTTAAAATTAGCGTGGCTCCCAAAGGAATCATGGTGTTCATCTTCCTCCCAAAGAGGATATGGTTCCACTCACTAACTAACTGTTATAAAGGAATCAGTGCTAATAGGGTTGTTGAAGAGCTGTGTTCATGTAGAAGTCATGTTTTGTTATGTGACTTTTGAATGTTGTAGTATCCTGCTTTTTAGAGAGAGAGAGAGGTCTACAGCGAGGCAGCAGCTTCCAGTAAGATACTATTACTCTTAAACCAGAGAACATAATACATCAATTTAAACACCCCTTTTGAAGGTCCTAGAGAACTCTAGCAACACAGACCAATGGTCAAATCTGCCACACTAGCCACTAGAAAAGAAAGGACACATCCCACCCTTATGACTTGCCATCCAGCTTACATTTCCCAAGGTAACAGATGGCTCGAGAGCGGGAAGGTGGATGAGTAGAATGGGGTAGGAGCCTCTAAGAGAACAGCAGGGAAATGGGAAAGCCCTTTGTGCATGAAGTAAAAGAGGCTGAGGATTGAGGACAGAGGAAGGAAAAGGACAAGTCTGAGTGGGCATCCCAGAACTCACATACTGTGGGAGAAACAGAGCCAGATCTCTGCCTATGGGAAGAAAGAGAGACTCAAAGCTATGCTAGCAGGAGTAAGCAGAAAAACTCAAAAGCTTTTTTAAATCAAACCCCTAGTAAGATTTTATAAATTGAAGTAATTCATGCTCTTGCTTTTAAATGTCTCTGAAACTAAAACTTCTCACTAGTGTATCCACATTCCCAACAAAGCTACCAACTGATTTTCCTAATATCCCTTTGTTTATCAAATTCTTCACAATGAATTCAAGTTGCTCTGTGTACTGATGCCCTTGGACCTGTATGTTCCTGAAGGTGAAGCACAGAGCATATGATTGTAGATGGTATGGAGATGAGCTTTTTCATATGAATTGCGCTTTTAATGGAGGTCAGAATAGTACAAGAGACCATCAAACCCATATCATTAAAATATTCCCTTTGATTATATTTTAAGTTAAAAAGTGAGTAACTATAAAGAAAATTATGTAGAAAATTTTGACACATAAATATGACCAAGGAAAAGATGTGATTAATTGAACTTTGGGGAATGCTGAGCAGATACATTCTGTTTTCCTTTGAAATGAAAAATAAGGAACATCCAAAGGGGGCAGGATCTAGAATATCTTTGAGTTGAGCCTTCTTTCTTAACTAATATTAGACTAAAGAGGCATGACTGCAAACCCAGGCCTTCATCTTCTCAGAAGCCTACTTTGTTTTGATGCTTTCTTTCCTTGGGAGCTTCTTACAAGCTCTTACCTGGGTCTCCAGGTAGCACAAACCCAACAGGGGTTGGTACTAACCCACAGCCAAGATCCCATGAAAAAATTTAGCCTCTGGACAGAGCAAACCTGGGGACACCACTTGAACTCAGGAAATGATGACAGAATGGGAAAAAACCAGCATGTGAAGTGCCACAATACAAATGTGCACTATTTGCAGTGATGGAAGTAGCAGATTAGAAAAGGGTCATGGTCATCAGGAACATCTTCATGAATGTGGGCCAAGATATGGACTTAGAATTCTCTCTACTATTATATATATCACCATTATATCAGCTATCACCTTTTGGGTGCCTATCACAATGGTCATGTGGAATTAGTTACCATTGCTTCTATTTTACAAATCAGGAAAATGAATCTCAGGGAGGTTCCCCAATGTCACACCTCTTGGCAAAGTTATAATTTGAATCATCTGTCTGTACCCACAATCTGTGCTCCGAAGAACTTGCTCTTCTATTGAGGCTGCTCCATTAGAAATAAAAGCATGTAGAAGCTCTTCCTGTTTGGTCCAGCCTTTCTCTCAGGCCTCTACTGAGCTCCAGCAGAACCTAAGAGGAAAGAATGCTGCTTCTCTTCCAGTTGCCATGCCTAGCATTTTCTTCATGGAAAATTCCCTGCCTCCATACCAAAACCATTTACCAAAGAGCCATTCTCCCTCCCCAGGAGGAGCCAGGAGAGTTCCACCACACACACCACACTACTATAGCCAGAGCACCGAAACACAGAAAGATGACCCGAGCGTCTCCCTTTTTTCCAAAGAAAAGGAGTACATAAAATCCGGACTCATCATGTTTCCAAAATTCCAAACGATCATTTCATCACTCGCCCCAGATAATGGCCCTTGGGCTGACATCTCTGACTTTCTCTCTCAGTCATGATGATCAGCTCCCAGAAGAGACTTTCCACCTGCAGATCATTTTACCTAAAGTCGTCTCCTCCAGGGGCTTGTGCAGCTTTCTCTCCTTCCTGTTCCAAGTCTCTACTCAGTGGCTGATTCCCGTGAGGTCCTCCCCAGCCAC